TGGCTTTTGGTATGTCCACAGAATTATACTCCCATCACCACAATTTTTAGAACCTTTTTGTTGCACCCTAGAAAAACCCTATACACCTAACCTATCACCTCTCATTTCCTCCATTCTCCATACCCCAGCCCTAAGCAAGTACTAATGTATTTTCTGCCTTTACAGATTTGCCTATTCTAGACATTTAATATAAATGGAATCATGCAATATGTGTTTTTTTGTGACTTTTTTTCGCTTAGTATAATGTTCTTAAGAGTCATCTATGTGTAGCATAATCAGTTCATTCCTTTTTATAGCCAGATAATATTTAATTGCATGGATATGGCAGTTTTGTTTCCTCAGTTGATGCACATTGGGCTGGTTTCACTTTTGTTTATTATGGATAATACTGCTGAGTATGGATACTGCTGCTGAATACTTCTGTGTATAAGTTTTTGTGTAGACACGTATTTTCATTTCTCTTGGGAGAAATCCTAGAAGCAGAATTGTTTGGGTCATATGGTAACTCCATGTTTAACTATTTGAGGAACTGCCAGATTATTTCCCACACTGGCTGCACCATTTGACATTCCCACCAGTGGTAGATGAGGGTTCCAATTTCTCCACATCTTCACCAACACTTGTTCTTATCTGTATGTCCTTACGAATGTGAAGTTGGTATCTCATTGTGGTTTTGATTTGCATTTCCTCTAATGACTAATGATGTTAAGCATTTTTTCATGTGCTTTTTTTTTGTTTTCAGAATTGACACATTTCTTTGCCAGAGATCTCTGATGATCTTTAGAAAGGTGGAAGATGATTTTGTTGTGTTGAGGCGTGAGTGGGAAGGAGCAAGGTGATTGCTACCCTTTTAGGAAGTAGGAGGATAGAGGGTATGCATGTTGAAGTGGCTAATTCTGCAAACAGACTTGGTGCAGACTTTTTTCTGGAGGTGAATTGATGAAGTCACAGCCATGAGCTGACATTACTCTGGTTGGCAACAAGGTCTTCTGAGATCCACTGTATAGTCCCACTGTGCCCATTGGATGCACTTAGCTAGAGGACCCAGCTGTTAGAAGGTCTGGAGGTAGGCATCTTCTTAGCTCCAGCAACAACTTCTTGATCACTGTTAGTCTAGGGCTTCCTCATTAATTGTCTGGTCATTCCTGATGATCCTCCTTGTCATTTTGTGGCATCAAGACTCTCTGTGAGGATGGCTGTTCATTATCCTCCTCGTTGTCCACCTGTTACTGTGAGAGATAAAGGTGTCTCCTGAATAACGCTTTTGAAAAGTCTTAAGTTCTGTCATCTCAGTAGGAATTGTAGAGATGCAGTCTGTGATTCTCTATGTGTGCTGTGTGTATGCTGATATCGTTTCTATCATTTCAAGCTCTAAGTACCGCTGGAGAAGAGAAGTTTCCTGGCACTTCTATAGTCACTTAAAATCTGGGCCCTCACTAATCAGAACTCTACTCTGAACTCCTCATAGCTAGGGATTTTCACTTCAAATTTGCATGTCTCTGAACTGGGATAATTTTACCTAGGCTGAGATTTTTTGGCCATCTCTTTGCCCCTGTAATACACCATCTGGATGTGTTGGACCCTCTCCAAGGCAAGGATGGAGAAGAAGCTTTCTACCTTCTAAGGAAGGCATCGTTCAGGTCCTAGCCCTTGATCTTTGTTTTAACTGCACAGCTTGAGCAGCCTATTTAGTAGGGTTAATTGAGGAAGTAGAGTGGGGCTTCCTGTCTGAAAGTGGACAGCTAATTCCTGCCAGTGATTCGGGCTCTTTACTAAAATAGTGAAAGAAAATCACCTTTTTTGATATAGCACCTCATTGGCTTGCCCTAGGAAAATTCCTTCAGCCCTGGGTAAAATTAAGTAATGAGTATGGGTTATTTAAAAAAAAAAAAAAAGCCAATTCCCAAGGAGCTAGGTGCAGCATCTAGTTCTTAATGTGGCTTTCAGAGTGTCAGCCCCTTTGGGTAGAAATTCCATCTTGTTCACTGTTCAGTCACCAGGGCCTGATGGCAGTTCATGCTCAATATAGACTTGGAGCGGTGTGGAGGAAGGAAAGAGGGCAGGTGCTGGTTGGTTGGCCTGCAGTTAGAAGGGCTGAATAAAGTCCTGTAGTGCCCTAGGTGACATATTCACTTAGCAGATACTTTATTGTGCCACTGTGGTCAGTGCCTTTCTCTGGGAAGGTGTGTGTTGGAGGAGGGGCTTCCTAAAGTATGTCATGGAGTCACACATAGAAACTTTAAACAATCCAAGGTGGACCGGTGTTTTTAACTCATAATACTCCTTTATTCCCTGTTTTAAATTTTTTTTTAAATTTGATACAATAATTATACATAATAATGGAGTACAATGTGAGATTCAGTCCACATATACATTGTGAAATGATCAAATTAGGGTAGTTATCATGCACATCACCCCCAAATAATTATCACTACTTTTGTGGTGAGAACACTTAAAATTGTCTCTTTTAGAAATATACATTATTATTAACCATAGTCACCTTGCTGTGCAATAGAACACTAGAATTTATTCCTCCTAACTGTAACTTTTTACCTACTGACCACTCCCTCCCCATCCCCCTCTCTCCTCCCCCTCTCTCCTCCCCCTCTCTCCTCCCCCTCTCTCCTCCCCACCCCTGGTAACCACTGTTCTGTTATCTCCTATGATACCAACTTTTTAGCGTCAGCATGTGAGATTGTACAGTATTTGCCTTTCTGTGCCTGGATTATTTTATTTAGCATAATGTCCTTCAGGTTTATCCCTGTTGCTGCAAAAGACAGGAGTTCTCTCTTTTTTTCTGGTTGAATAGTATTCCATTGTCAAAAGTGCTGTAAGACTAGGAAAGGAACACTGCAGGCTGGAGCCCTGGGGAAAGTGGTCTGAGGCAGGTGGGACTGGAGCTGGGGTTTGGCAGACAGGCTGGGTTTGATTGTCAGCATAATGGAGAGCACTCATGTGCCAGCTGGGTGGGAGGAGCAGCCGAGTGAAGACTGGGAAGCCCCTCAGGAAGCATGTGCAGGGTTTGTGGTGATGAGCAGACCAGCAGGTACGTAGGGGGAGAAGGGTGTGATGGGGCAGAGGAACTTATGTCATAGTATAAGACAGAAGTTGAGCCTCATTTTAATGGGCATTGTGGTGGTATTGAATAGTGATGGAATGTATGGGTCTGGAATCAGACTGCCTGGTCAAGGGCTCTGAAACTTGAGTGTGCATCAGAATCACCTCGAGACTTGTTAAAGTATTGACTGCGGACCACATCTCCCCAGTTGCTGATTCAGTGGGTGTGGGTGGGGCCTGAAAATTCACATTTCTCACTGGCGATGCTGCCGTTACTGAGTTTGGGACCACGTTTGGAGAACCACTGGTCTAGAATTGAGAGGTTGGCAAATCTTTTCTGTTAAGAGGTAGGTAGTAAATATTTTAGGCCTTGTGGGCTACAGAGTATCAGTTACATATTCTTTATTGCTTTTCATGACCCATTAAGCATATACATATCATTGTCTGCCATATACAAACAGGCTGTTGGGGGAGTGAGGATGACATAGGGAAGGTGGGGCATGGTTTAATAACCCCTGGGCCATGCCTAGATGGTCAGTCCTCTGCCACATAGCTGGCTGACCTTTGCCAAGTTAATCACCTTTTTCCTTTATTTCCTCATGCTTCTCATAAAACAGAGATGATAATATTCATACTTCTTACCATACAGAACTTCTGAGGATTCAGTGAGCTAAGCCACAAAAGATTGTATGTCACAATGTCTGGGACATAGCTAGAATTTATAATTTATTTTTATTAATAGTAGTACTACCAACTACTGGTTACTCTGTTGATAGGCAAGGGGAAAACAGTAAGAGGCAGACCAACAGTGATCCAGGGCTCTGAAAGCTAATTGCTTCAAGATCCTGCTACCATTTTCTTTTGGGCTACTTGCAAAGAAGAATCCTTTAAAGCATATATGTACACTTTGAAGTACATCCTGGGTTAGTCCCTTATATCGGGATCATTGCTCAGTCTGTCCCTTGAGTGGCACTTAGAAAATGGCACTGTTCGTAAGCTGACTGGTATTGGGCCCAGGACTCTGGCTGAAGGGATTGGCATACTGGTAACCATTTGCAACCTGTGCTCAGGTCCTACTTGTTGGAAGCCCTGATTGAGAAGAGTGGCCTGGTCTGTACTTGCGTTAGATAGGATCTGGCTGCATTAATATTGAAACTACTCTGCCTTTTAATGTCTCATTTTGCCTCATGGTGGGAGGGAAAGTGAGAACCACAGAAAATCTGCCTGCCAGGTGTTCCACATTTCTTGTGCTACAGCATACAACTGAGCAGTGAGGTATAGCTTTCCCTCATGTAGCTGGGAAAGCGGTACCCCCGCTTGTACCTCTGGCATATCTTCTCTGTGCTGGTGCACCTAGAGAGGTTGCCTGGTGGCCCTGAGAGAGCCATCTCATCTCTAAACACTGATAGTGAAAGCTGGCCATGCTCAAATAAGATGGAGCAATCTACCTCTTCCTTGTTTAGTTACCCCCAAGGGGGCATCCACTTTCTTGCTCACCTCACCAGTTGCATGTTCTAGTCCTTGCCAGAAGCACATAATAATGACTTTGTAAGCTTAAGTTACAGGCACACAAAAGTACCTGATGGTGATATGACTCCACCCTCTGCTTGGGTTTTTGCTGACATTCAGTGAAATATCCTTCCATCTCCTCCCCACCTTGCAAAACAAACTTCCTGTTTTGAATTTGGTCCAGGCTGGAACAGCCCCACTACACCTGTTAACACACACAGACACACACACTTCCCCCTTCATATTTGCTTAGCTTCTTGTTGCCTAGCCAGATTTCCCCTCAGCTTACAGATCCTGAATCATAAGGTATTGAACCAGGAAATTTAAGAGTTAACATTTTACTTAGAGGTATTCAAGTGAAAATATGGCTTCTGGTTTATTTTGCTGTATTGTGCCATGACTACTTTGCTAATTCTTCTCCTCCTTCACAGCAGAATGGAAGTGAGGAAAGGCAATCAGCTGACACAGGAGCCAGAGTGAGACCAGCAGACTCTCACACTGAACCTACACCATGAATTTGTGTCTATCTTCTACGCGTTAAGAGCCAAGGACAGGTGAAGTTGCTGGAGAGCAATGGCTGTCTTTACTCCGTGGAAGTTGTCCTCTCAGAAGCTGGGCTTTTTCCTGGTGACTTTTGGCTTCATTTGGGGTATGATGCTTCTGCACTTTACCATCCAGCAGCGAACTCAGCCTGAAAGCAGCTCCATGCTGCGTGAGCAGATCCTGGACCTCAGCAAAAGGTACATCAAGGCACTGGCAGAAGAAAACAGGAATGTGGTGGATGGGCCATACGCTGGAGTCATGACAGCTTATGGTAAGCACTGTGTTTCTGGGACCTCTCCATTAAAGTGTGCCTTGGCCTTGAAAATGGCCCTAGAAGCTCCCAGACATGGTCTTGTCATGCCTTCATAAGCAGTGAATTGCACACAGAGAGGCATCTTTAGGAAATTAAAGCAGTGCCATTTTCATTGTTCTGAGCTGGTATATGCAGACACACTTCCCCCTGGAATCAATGGGTTAGGACAGTTAGGGCTCTATTGGTTGTGTTTGCAGCTAGCTCCTTCTCCCTGAGCACATTTCAGGAACCATGTGATCTCATGTGGGAGTGAGTTCAGGGAATGCTGAAAAATATTCTCATCGTTCCCTAAACAAAACTTAATTAAGGCTGGTGGGGGTGAGGTGAAGAGGATGGGGAGGAATGGAAGCCAGTAAACTTAGAGCCAATTGTGTGCCTCCCGCCAGCCGATAAGTAGGACACTGGCACTTGCATCCTGGTGAGTTTTAATCTTTGGCTTCTTGAGGTTATGTTGCTCTTCTTCTTGCCCTTGTCTCTAATTGCCCTCACTTTAAAAGGAATCTTTGTGTACTTGTTGCTTTTTTTTAAAAGAATTTTTTTTTTTCAGAATTATTTTTGAAATCATAAAGAGTAAAAAGATACACATATGGAATGTAACTTATTTTTCTTTTATGTTTAATATAGAAAAAGTTGGAAGCTGTAGACAAGCAAAAAAAGAAAAAAATTACACATAAGTCTACTACTCCAGGCAATAACCACAATTAACATTTCAGTGTGTATTTTTCTGATATTTTACATATACACACACAAAAATATATACATATATACACAAATACAAAAAAATTGCAAATGGATTTTAGAATATGCTGTGTTTTGCAGAGCAGAATTGGTCTGTAGAAGATGACCTGTTGTTGAGTGAAAGAGTCTGATCATTGAATTGAGGTTTCAGTGGTCTCACTGAAGTGGTCTCCATGATAGTATAGATAAGATACAAGAATGGGGTTAGGTGAGGTGGAGAAAGTGGAGTTCTGTTTTGTGACCCACTCAAGGAAGGTGCCCTGAAGTATGCAGAGTTCAAATCGTGATTCCCAAAAATGTGCAGCAACAGTTCAGTGCAGATTGAGTTCAGACACAGGAAATCATACTCAGTTATACATGTACTTTTTTCTTTCCAAAAGGGGAAAAAAACTTGTTTTTAAAAATATGTAAAATTTTATACACACGTGTGTGTGTGTGTGTGTGTATATATATTTATTATAGAAGATGCTTCTAAGGAACATTGTAGAAATTCTTTTCTAGTTCTTACTATGTAAATAATCATACTCTGCTTTTAATCTGTTAAAAGTGTAGGCATTGGCTTTTAATATATCTAAATAAAATGGTATCTTTTTTGAACTGATGGATTTAAAAAATGGGATTCGACTGTGGGAACTTACACTGAAAAACAACTAGGTAGTTTTTCCTAGAGTTGCATTTTAAAATTGCTCATCGACTCACACTTTTGTAACGTTTCCAGAGTAGTTGAGATAAACCAACAGAAAATAAAGTTGATTGTCACCATTAGTGTTACCAATGTATATAACGTAGCAGGTAACACAGGTACAATTTTAAAGTTTCTGGTTGTATGCATTTCATGTTATAGCTTTGAAGGGAAAGAGTTACAGCTCAGTGGTAATTTTCTCTTGTTTCTCTTAGTCTGTCAAACCTTTTCTATGGCCAAGCAGCAGCTCCACAAATAGCAAATTTGTAGGCTTTAAATTTCTCCAGTTGTTTTGGCTGTTTTTATTTCTTGTGTACTGCTAAAAATCTCATAGGGAAGGCTTCCCTACTTAAGGACAATAATTTGGTCTTAGCTTTTCAGCCTCACAGAGATATTATTTTTTAAGTTACAAAAAAGTCTCAGAATAGGCTGTTAGAATTTCAGCCACCCTATATGCTTGTAATCATAGGACTTTGCATCTCAAAGAAACTATAGAAATTATTCATTCCAACTTACTTTTGTAGATGAACCTTAGCAAAATAATTTCTTTTTCTCAAAAACAACAAAGAAACAATCAAACAGGTCACATGAGCAACTGTAACTCACACTGCTAGTTTTCTCTTTCTTCTAATCAACTTTAACATATCAAAGTGGTTTTGGGAGCTGAGTTTCTGGAATTTAATTGGATTTGTATGCATGTGCTTGAGGTATTGGGGGTTATCACATGGTGAGATCCTCCTAAGACACGGTGTCTCATTTGGTGCTATTGACATTTTGGTCTAAATAGGTCTTGATTGTGGATAGGATTTCAGCAGCATCTCTGGGGTCTCTACCCACTAGATGCCAGTAACAGCTCCCTAGTTGTGACAGTCAAAATGTCTTTAGACATGTGATAATTGTCTCCTTCCTGCCACCTTGGAGAACTGTACTAAGAGTGGAAACCGCAAACGCCATCTGACATCATCTTTTAAAGGATGTTATCAAGCAGATAACTGGTTTTAGGTTTTTTGTTTGTTTCTGAGATAGTGTCTTGCTTTGTTGCCCAAGCTGGAATGCAATGGTATGATCTTGGCTCACTGCAACCTCCGCCTCCCAGGTTCAAGCCTCAGCCTACAGAGTAGCTGGGATTACAGGCACACACCACCACGCCCAGCTGCTTGTTGTATTTTTAGTAGAGACGGGGTTTCACCATGTTGGCCAGGCTGGTCTCGGACACCTGACCTCGGGTGGTCTGCCCGCTTCGACCTCCCAAAGTGCTGGGATTATAGGTGTGAGCCACCGTGCATGGCCTGATTTTAGTTATTTTAAACTTAAAAGCCTAGTCTTACCCCTGGTTTCCAGTTCTGGCACCAACAATGTGGATTGAATGAGAGGATCGTACTAGGGATTAGTATAGTCCAGGGCCAGTCCTAGAAGCTGGAGAGCCATTCTGATGACATATGCTTCCCTTGGAATCTGTCAGTATCAGTAACATTGTGTGACATGCAGGCAGCCCTGGCAGTTAATGTCACATGGTGGTCCAGAGAATGTAGGATTCTTAGTAGTGTAGCTGGGCTGGCAGAACGGTGTTGGGGATGCATGGGCCATTAGTTTGCAGTCTCTCTTTTTTTTTTTTTTTTTTTGCCATAAATGCAACCTATGTGCAGTGCACTGCCTACACATCTGCTTTGAAAGAGTGAAGAGTTGATCCTGTATGGCTGGGATTTGTGTCTGGTTTAAATGAATCCAGCAAAATGAAGAAAAAAATTCCTTCTTTCTCTCATCCCCATATTGGTATAATCAGAGGCTCTCAGGATAAATGGGTCTACAGTAGGTATTTGAGGGATTGTAGTAGCTGATTTTAGATGATTGCTGATTTATTAGAATTTCTGGTTAGAGATTCCAGGGCAGCAGGGCTCGGTGAACTATGACCTGTGCTCTAAAATTGGAACACCTCCACTCCCACTTGTTTGTAACAAATGCAATAACAGATAAACATGATAATTCCAGTATTTATTTCATAATACATCTGAAACATTCTGAATCCATCGATCAGCAGTCACCATAGTTATTCTAAATACTCATCTGATCAAGTTCCTTATTGATTCAGCTACTTCCCAGGACTCCCATGGTCTAAGGCAGAGTCATCAAACCATGGCCTATGGGCCAAGTCTTCTTTGATACCTGTGTTTGTAAAGAAAGCCATGCCCATTTGATTACATGCAGTCTGTGGCTGCTTTTGCACTATAATGGCAGAGTTGAGTAGTTGTCATACAGACTGCAAAGCCTAAATATTTACTGTCTGGTTCTTTACCAAAAATGTTTATCAGTCTCTGACTTAGATAGTCTCTTGGTGAGTCTCTCTATCTACTGGATTTTGTGGGTATGTGTGTGTCCCAAGTCTCTTTCATGCTTGTGTTAAGGTGCACATATATAAATGCAGCATTTCTCTAGCCTCTGAAAATGCTTCTTCTAAGTGGCAGGTCGAGAGGTGTAGTGGTTAGGAGCATGGGTTTTGGAGCCAACTGGTTTGTCTTTGCCACATCCTGCCTGCATGACTTAGGCCCTAGAAGCACAAAACTGCTTGAAAGTGGGGTGTCAGTGCCTCTCACCAAGGACTGTGAGACATGAGCAAGGTGCTGTGTGTCAGGTGCCTGACATTGTGTGCTTATTGTTGGCTGTTAGTGTGGCTTGTGACTAGTACTCAATAATAGAACTTGAAGAATATCTTCCCTGCCCCAACCCATCCTTGTTTTGGTGATTTTAAAAGAGACTTCTGGACTTCTTTGGGATTTGGCAACTCCAAAGTGATACTTGGAAGATCTCCTGGGCAGCCCGTGTGGAACATTCAGTGCATTTGTTATTGGAGTGTGGAGGGCTTTTCTGTGTATTACTCTGTCAGTCTAGAGAGGAGTGTGTTGGCTTTTGCCTCCCAGGCAAGTATAGAGCCAGAGCCCTCTGCAGGTCAGCAGAGGAGAGCCCTCTGCATCTCCCAGCCAGTGTGGCAGGGGCCATGCCTGCCAGTGACGTCTCGGGAATTGTGTCATGGATGGTGCCACTCACCCGACTCAATGCAATTCTTGTTTCTGAGGTGAATTGATCTCTGTCTCCAACAGCCTGACCCAAATTCTGATCCCTAGTGATACCTCTTATCTAACTGGACAGACCCGGTCCACTTGTGTTCTCTAATGAACAGTAATGGAAACCTGAGGCGAGGTGACATTTCCCTTCATGGTCCATCCACACCTTGTTAACCCTGGCTTCTCTGGGCTGGGGCACTGTCCTAGAAAAGCTGCCAGCTCAGGCTCAAACAGCTGTGGGCTCCCAGTTTCTCTCTGCTGACCCCCATCCCACTTGCCTGCTGCCTGATTCCTCCTTGACCTCCCGGTTCTGTGTGCCTGCTCTTCCCTACCTTCTGCCTGTCTCCTGGTTCCCTGAGCTTTTTAGTCCTAGACTGGCCCTTAGGCTTCTGTTTTTCAAGCCTGGTCCTTCAGGAAATGTCTGTCATTGGCTGGACTATCCCCCACATTTTGTGCATACAGTGAGAAACAGATGGACA